CTCGCCTTTCGGTCTGCCAGATGGAGACCGTCGCGGGGGGTGCCTGGGCTCTCCCCCCCGCCCCCTCCCCCCGCCATTGACGTGCTCCTCCCCCCCCCTCCACCCCTCTCGCTCTCTCTTGATCTTCTTTTCCTCTCTCATCCGCTCTCTCTTCGCCTTGCTTGTAACTCTCACCCGCTCTCTCCTTTGCCCGGGCGATCTTGTCCCACCGGAAAACCGACTTTTTTTTTTAAACCAATTTAGAATCGATATTCCGACGCATTACCAACGACCTCAATAAACCCCACTCGCACAACTATCTCGGAGAAACGAGGCACGCCAATTAACAATTAATTATCATATCCAACAACATTCCGAGTGTAGCAGCGCCCGTTAAATCAAGGAGCGCGGGTGTTTTATCGCCGGGTTGGAGCGCGTGGCGGCGTCTGGCAACCATCTAACGGTACAGCGTTATTACTAGGGCAAACGATCGCGGGCTTACTTACGCACATGACGACACAAACACCTAATTATTGACTTCTTGCAACCAGCACCACGCGCATGACCAACATTCTTGAGATCATCTGTGATTCATGATTGATGTTTGCAGCTTTTGAGCAACGAGCTGACAACTATTGAGGCGTTTTTCGTGTGTAAATAGAGCTGTCGTCTCATAGGCCTATATAGTGATTTGGAACCATGGGTATTTAAAAAAGAAGAAATGCGACATACAAGAATGAAATGTTTTAATGCGACGAAAGAAAGGAATAGAAAACAGAAGCAAAAATAAGGGCAGAGTGAAAAAAAACAGCGGAAATACGGGTAAGAATGGTGGTAGCTGTAACCTGGTGCCGCGTGGAGCAAATAAGATGACATTATAATGGCAATAAAGATACTGGTAATAGGGATGATGACGTAATAACAGCGTTCGTAATGATCAAAGTCAAAGCTGTGCCGATGTTAATAATCGAGTATATTGATAATGGTTTTGATAATCATAATAGTAAAAACAGTGATGGTTTATCAATTAAAGAAATAATAAAAATAGCAATAACGCTGGCAAATAAATAAACAAATAAACCTTATGACAATCCTTTCATCATAAGCAATAGCAAATAAGATCTATAATAATACATAAAATACTAACATACTGAAGGCTTCATAAGGGCTTGAGATATCGACACTTACAAATATATCGTGTATCAACAAATTTAAACTAAATTCACCGTGAAATCTGGATTCCTTTGACAAAGACTCGAATGCTATGGGGTGAATGAACACGAGGCAAGGGTTGTTAGCAAGGAAAGGAGGTTGGATATTAGGGCGAGAGTCCAGGGGCGGGTGTTGTGGATTTGGGGTTAGGAACGAGGTGGCTTAGGGGCCAGGGAAAAGTGGCTTAGGGGTTAGGGAAGAGTGGCTTTGGAGCTATGGAAGACTTAGGACTTAGAGGTTAGGAACGAGGTGGTTTAGGGGGCAGGGAAAAGTGGCTTAGGGGTTAGGGAAGAGTGGCTTAGGGGCTAGGAAAGAGTGGCTTAGAAGGTAGGGAAAAGTGGCTTAGGGGCTCGGAAAAAGCGGCTTTAGGGCTAGGGAAAGTGGCTTAGGGGCAAGGGACGAGGTAGTTTTGGTGCTAGGGACAATATATTTTTTATAGAACAGAGATATGGCGGCTTTGACACTGATAATAAGGACAAGTAGACATTCGTAAAATTCTCAATAAGGCTTTTGGGGATAAAAGGGCCATAGCTGGGCTTAGGGACTGCCGCCAGGGACAAGGACGAAGCCACTCGGGCCGGCGTGGCTCAAGGGCCTGAGGACGCGTTGACTTTTGGGCCACGAGCTACACAGAATATGGGTCGCTGGGTTGCCGCACGCCGCCAGCACGCTCAATTGTACATTATCACCCGCCTCTGTGTTTCTTTGTGACCGTTTTTTGTGGACCAGAACTGATTAGCTTCAGTTTGATGTCTGCTGCTAAGGTTTTGGGTAATTGCTCTAAAATGATGATGTAAAGTGTATATACTGCATATAGATGTGTGTATATATGTATTTATGTACATATATAATATATATATATATAAACATACATATATATACATATGTATATATGTGTATATATGTATATATATACATATCTATATTATAAAATATAAGTATATATATACATACATTTACACACACACACACACACACACACACACACACACACACATATATATATATATATATATATATATATATATATATATATATATATATATATATATGTATATATATGTATATGTATATATGTATATAAACACACACACACACAGGTATTTGTGTATGCATGTATGTATATATGCGTGCACATGTATGTGTATATGTGTTTATATATGTACAGTATATACACGCGTGTATATGTATGTATATATATACATACATGATATATATATATATATATATATATATATATATATATATATGTGTGTGTGTGTGTGTGTGTGTGTGTGTGTGTGTGTGTGTGTGTGCATACATACACATATATGTATGTATACACATATCTATGCACACAAGCATAATTACCCCCCCCCCCGAGCCATGGCTGGCGCGGCGCCGGGCTTCGCAGCCGAGAAGCGGCGACTGGAAACTGAAAAGGGAAAAAGCGAAGTGTTGCGCCAAATATCTGTCATAACGGTCGGTAATATCTGGTGGGAATGCGCCGGGGATTCCAGGCTGCGAGCGCGACCGCCGGTGCATAAAGTAGAGTTCATAAGATCGGCCATTAGCGGGTGGTCGGGCGGCGAGCAGGCGGACGGGGCTGGGGCTCGGCCGGGGGGGGGGGGGAGGGCACATACATACACTCAGATATATGTATTTATATCTATACATATACACACATATGTATATATATATATATATATATATATATATATATATATATATATATATATATACACACACATATATATGTATGTATGCACACACACACACCCACACAGACACACACAAGCGCACGTGTGTGTGTGTGCATGTAGGCGTGTACGTATATGTGTCTGCATCCTCTGACGGATGGACCCCTTAATCGCCACCAATAAAGCGCCTGCACTTTCCCCAATCACACACGGACCCCCCCCCCCCCTCCGCGCCAGGCACCTCCAGGCACTGCTCCGCCGCCGCCGTCGCCGCCTCCTTCCGAATCGCTCGTTCCAAATAACACTTTTTTCCCGATGACGCGGTCGCCGGACGCCAATCGGGGCAGCGCCGTTTCCGCCCGACGGGTCTCGTCGTCGCCGGCATTACGGCCCGTTTTATGCAGGCGGTCGCAATCGCGTTTATTTCTCGCCTGAAGTTGGTCATCGTCGGGCCGGAGAAAGCCGCAGTCGGGAAGAACGATCGGCGACGAACGGCGAGGAAGCGTCCGGATGTGAGAATGAACGAGCGAGAGGAACAACTACATGGCCTGAGGCAGGAATTCCACGCAGCCTGCTATAGTTGATTAAAAAAAGAAAGAAATAAAAGTAATACGTGATAAGTAGCCTAAAGTGATGATAATAGTAATAATAAATGATCTAATGTAATAATTAATACATTAAGTAATAAACTTAAATGGCTTAATGGAGGTATTGTGAAATTAATTAAGGATACTATAGCCTTCCATCTCACGTGATCCTGAAGACGTTTTCATTATCATTAAACGAAAGTGAAAAACGAGAAGGCAAACAAAATAAATGTCAGTCAGAAATGTCAGAAACAGTTTACGAAAGAAAGGAGAGAAAGAAAGAGAACAAAAACGGAAAAGAAGGAGAGAAAGAGAAAGAGACGGAAAGGAGAGAAAGAGAAAAACGGAAAGGAGAGAAAGAAAGAGACAAAAACGAAAGAGAGGCAAAAACGGATAGAAGAAAGAGAGACAAAAAACGTAAAGAGAGAGACAAACGGAAAGAAGGAGAGAAAGAGAGAGACAAAACGGAAAGGAGAGAAAGAGAGAAACAAAAACGGAAAGAAGGAGAGAAAGAGAGAGACAAAAACGGAAAGAAGGAAGAGAGAAAGAGAGAGAACAAAAACGGAAAGAAGGAGAGAGAGAGACAAAAACGGAAAGAAGGAGAGAAAGAAGAGAGACAAAAAGAAAGAAGAGAAAAGAGAGAACAAAAACGGAAAGAAGGAGAGAAAGAGAGAGACAAAACGGAAAAAAGGAGGAGAGAAAGAGAGAGACAAAAACGGAAAAGAAGGAGAGAAAGAGAGAGACAAAAACAAAAACGGAAAGAAGAGAGAAAGAGAGAGACAAAAACGGAAAGAAGGAAAGAGACAAAAACGGAAAGAAGGAAGAAAGACAAAAACGGAAAGAAGGAAAGAGATAGACAAAAACGGAAAGAAGGAGAAAGAGAGACAAAAACGGAAAGAAGGAGACAAAAAGAGAGACAAAGACGGAAAGGAGAGAAAGAAAGCGACAAAAATGGAAATGAGAGAAAGAGGAGACAAAAATGGAAAGAAAGAAAAAAGAGAGAAAGAGAGAGACAAAAACGGAAAGAAGGAAAAAAGAGAGAAAGAGAGAGACAAAACGGAAAGGAGAGAAAGAGAGAGACAAAAACGGAAAGGTTCCCCTGTGGACGGACGCTGCGGCAGGAAAAGGCCACCGGGTTTACGATGATAGAAGAGGAAAAAAAAACTAAATAAATGAAATAAAAAATAAAATAAAACGTGAGCGTCGGACATCGTGATTCAAAACAAAGGAAAAAGATGACGCGTTTATTCTCTCTCGCTTTATATATATATATATATATATATATATATATATATATATATATATATATATATATATATATATATATATATATATTGCAAATGTAAGAATTAGATTTATCCGACAGTTAAATGAAGAAAAGAAGAAAATCGGTTAAAAGGTCGTTAAGTTGATTGGAACGTGAAAAGTCCAACTCTTCTCTCACACTTGAACGGATCTCGGACGCAGGCCAAGCGAGCCCCGCAGCTCACGCGAAGAGGCGCCGGGAACGCAGCCCGTAGCACCATTCCTCGCTCCGCTGGCC